GAAGTTTGGGTAAACTTCGACCATAGGAAGGGGGTAATGTTATGATTTTCCCATGCTTATCTCATTCCATTTCCATTCCGAGCATTGCTATTGGACAGTACCTTTCTCTGAGTAGAACTTCCCATGGACGCTATCTTCTTCCCACACGTTATCTCCCTTGACTCACCTTCTACCGATGGGCGCCCTTGTATTTCTCATTTCTCTGAGTTACGTTCTCACAGGATAGCTTACGCGTCCTTTCTTATTGTTCTCTTCTTTGGGTATTAACCCCTATACCAGTTACTAAATATACTGTAGGAAAACCCATGTATTCCTTAGTTCAACCTCCTGTTGAATACAGCGATTACCTGGACTCTTGACTTGACTGTTGGCATTGGCCCGGCCAGACCTACCTTTCAGTACGCTTACTGAGGTAGTGACGACATAACTGTTGGCACGTGGCCCAGTTATCTCAAGACGACTAGTTAGGACATCGCTTCCTAACACATCCGGTGTATCCACCATAAAGGCATGATGGTCAGTGGGCAAGAAGGGAGCCTTGAACAACCAGAAATAAGCAGGATGACCCTGGGGATGGACAACACCGGGCAGCTCTTTCATAACTACTGCCACAGAATGAGATTGCCCGGAAATGTCAGGACGACCGGTGGAAAGATCAAGCTTTGGAACCCGGACTTCAGAAGATAAAGACATGATGGGGAGTACACAACCAAGAGTGGTAAAACAGCCAAACAATCAGTAAAGGCGCTACAAAGCGAAGGACCAAGTAATCACAGCCAATCACAATCGATCAATCGTAATCCCTGCTGCACAGACGCATAGCGTGCGAAAATCAACCACCGAAATACAAAATTCACACGGTAACAAATAATCTAATCGTCAAAATAACAAGCAACCATGATGCTTGCTGAAACAAAACAGTACAACACACCAAAAAGAAAAAATACACATAAACATGCATCCAACACCCAAAGCACCGAACAATAAGTCTAACATAGCAAAGCACAAAGGTAACACCCGACGCCCAACAATGACATAGCACGACCGCCATTCTGAATACACGCTCTCAAGTTGCGTCATAAGTAGACAGCAGCCAATCACAGCCATTGAATCCCAACCGGCGCGGCGATATGCCTCAGCCACCGACTACAAACCGCCACAAAAGTCAATTCCCACGGTAAGAACATGCCACAGATGACAACGAGCATGCAGTAAAAGACGGAGGTACGATACATTGCTCAAAATATTCCAGTGGATGGACGACCCAGAAAAACCTCTTCGTAGAAGAAACCATGGAAATACACCCAAAACCCAGGACGAAAACACAGTATTATTGAAGACAGAGACTACAAATCCGATTTTGTAGTCTTTTTGTAGTCTCCAATACAAGCGGACTTTAAAGCGGATATTAAACAGCGTAGTCAAGACTACAAACAAAAAGTCGCACGCATTCTCGGCATTGCGATTCCCACGGGGTACAACGTTCGGCACGCACCCAATTTTGCGGGTAAGGACTCATCCTTCGTAAACTCAGGACTCGTAATTTGCAGACGTTCGCATTAAGCCGCAGTATACAAGCTAGCAACTCGAATATGCCTGAAGTGCGTATCTCTTCCTAGCAGCAATTTGGCAGTCCCGTCTCAGGGTCTGACAAATCACATACATAAGAAGGAACCTGAGCGTACACCGGAGGAGATTCAGGCTGAAATCAATCGATCTATCGAAATCGCCAATGTAACCCTCAAAGCCGCGTATCCGGTACTGCCTGACCGTCGACGCTATACGATGGTCTATGGATACCCGGTCACAGCAGACTGGATAATGAAGGCTGCCAGAAATACCGGCAACAAGTCCAGCGATTTTCTTGAGGCTGCTGCTCACGTCAAACATATTCTGCGCGTCAAGTCAGGTATCAGGACCCTGTGCTTCTGCGCACCAGACATAGACGCTTATCCTTCCAACTCGGAGGACTGGCTCGTGACATTCGGCACCTACGAGCACATCGATATTAAAGGCCGCTGGCCACCTTGCTTTGCGATAGATAGGGTGCGGAGGATGGTGAAGGCACAGGGCCTTCCGATCTGGCGGCGCAAGGTCGGTAGATGGTCTTGCCCGTGAGACCGATTACCGGAGCTACGGCTGTATTGTCTTCTCCCAACCTTGTTATTTGGACGTCCGCACGTACATGATTTTCTAGAGTGGCAGGTACATCAATTTATATTTGTTCACACTTTCGCCATATACTCCAGGAATGTAGTTGGAAAGCGGTATATCTTCCTGCATTCAATCCCGGCGGTCGGTGACTGCTGGCGCTTGATCAGATATAATAGAATTGGATTCACACCGTCATTTCCTCGCCAGCCCCCCATAAAGGTCAAGGATGACGATGGGAGGCATGGGGTAATCATCGACCAGGTAAATCTCCTGGAAGGCCAAGTCAGGCGGATGAAGCAAAGCGACGGACTTGACCCGGATTTGAGGCGGGTTCTAGACGACATAGTCATTCCAGCCGTACTGGAGGCACTGAAGAAGCGCGTTTTGCGGGACCTGCGCTTGACAGAGTTCAGTCGTGAAGACGAATGGCAGCTCCACGATGTCACAAACTGACGGTGTTCGGAGGTGTATGCAGTCTGCAGCTTTTGTAGTGTGCCTCGTCTGTAATCAATAAGCGAAACGTGCTATAACAATGAACTTTGAGACTTTGCGGATAGTAAGGGACCGCCCTGACGTGAAATATGGCACTCAGGCTTGGGCGTGCCAGCATGGCTGAACTTACAAGGTTTTTGGGATCTCAATAATATTCGAGTTTTGTCCCCAGCTCATGGGAACGGCAATTGCTAAGAGTCTTAACCTTGCTGTCACCAGTCAATGGGTACTCCTATACTGCCACCAGGTCGTGTTTGGCTAACGGGCAGAGAGGACATCCTCCTGTGGCGGCAGCGAGGTTTAGTGGCGAGCGCAGGTTGAGTGAGGTAACTGTGAATACGAGGAGCCTACAGTAACTGTACGTGTGGCGCGTCGGACAGCTTGGGGATCAACGCAGGTTACAGCAAAAGTTCGAAGAGGATCCGATGCGGGAGTATCAGTCTCGGCATGTAGACGTGGGCTTCTGTGCACCAGACATAGACGCGTACCCCTCCAACTCAGAGGACTGGCTGGTGACCATTGGTACCCGCGTGAACATCAATATAAAGGGTCGCTGGCCTCACTGGTTTGCGATAGACTGGGTGAGGAGCACAGTTAAAGACGAGGGACCCCCTAGCATCGGGTAAATTGCACATTCCTGATGGACTGACAGTCCTGACAGAATTTGGGCCAATTTGTGCCCCATTTACTGAACATTAGTTATGCTCCAGTGGCCAACTGGGGTGGAAGAACAGAAGTTATATCAGTATACCTGAAGTCTAGAAACTCCCTCCCTCAGACAGATGCCTCCTTGCAGCAGGCCAGTACTCACAAACCTCGACCTGACAGGGTCAAGAACACCTTCTGACAACTGATGCCCTGACAAGCCCTGATAAGCCCTGACGAAGGTCTGTCAGTACCTGTCAGGGCAGAATGCAGTTTTCCTGATGCCTATTGAGAAATACGGTCAAGGTCGGTAAACGTATGTCCTTCATGGCTTGGATTGCTTATATGAGAACCTTACACCACAGCCCTCCCCCGAGGAGGTCGAAGCCGAAAGGAAACACTCGCGTTGGGTGCACTCGAAGCGACACCGAGACCTGGTTGGGTGCATTATAACATGGTATACGGATATCCCGTGACGACTGAATGGATCTAGAAGGCTGCAAAAGAGAAAGGCGTGAAGACAGACGGTTTCGGGCGTTGTGCAGACTGCGTCATAGATATATTGCGGAGGAAGTCTCGCCTCAATGAGCTAGAACTCTGTGCTCCGCAGATGTATGCAAAGTTCGCGAACACTGACGACTGGCTTAAAACCTTCGGCGCTGACAGCCACCTCCGAGAACGAGGGCGGTGGCCTACGCTTGCTCAAATCGAGAAGGTACGGAAGAGGCCTATCTGGGTACCTGTGGCTGGTGGCTGGATTAGCATATGAACGCCGCTCGATGTTAGTATCAATATCATCCATTGTTACTTCGTCTATATAGTGGTGTGTGTATAATGCAATTTTGGCACCGTGACTGGGAGGCCATGGCCGAACGCGACTTTGTGTCCCAAATGCGGACGCCATATCAAGATCGCACGTTCAGGTAAGGTTAGGGCTTATCAGGACACGCACACCACTCATCCTATCGCCTCCTCTCAACGTTTTAACCAGCTGTCATTACAACACGGATATTTATACACTTTGTGCTGAAATTACAAACGCCCACCGCTCTCCTTTCGCCCCCTAACCCACCACAACGCTCACTTCTCCTTCTGCCCAGCAACCACCCCGACGTTACTAAAATCCCCCGACGCGCTTTCCGCATTCCTATCCGTCCCCGGCGTGCGCTTCTGCTTTTCCGCGCCGACCGTCACGCTCCCCTTCTGGGCGCGCGTCTCGCCGAAGCGGCTCCCCGCCAGCTTCGCCTGCTCGTACTCCGCGGGCCCGCCCGTGTCGAGACCAAGGTGCGCGTCCTTTTGCTTCTGAGTGCGCCCGGCGGTGTGCGGGTCTGTGCGGCCGGAGGCGTAGGTGGGGAGAGAGGTGCGGAGGGTAAAGGAGAAGGGGCGTTTGCCTTCCCATTGGAGGGGACGGGGGGTGGAGGTAGCGGCTTGCGTGGTGTGTTTGAGTGCGGAAGTCAAGGAGGGGCGGGGGTAAGTGTTAGGGGTGGTGGTCGCGCCTTCCCAGCGGGCAGAGGCAGTACTGCCCGGCGAAGGTGAGCCCTTTACATCGTCAGGCATGTACTTCGACCCGCCGTTCGCGGAGGCGCTCGCCCCGCCAATTTGCTCGACGAACCCGATATGCTCCTTGTTGCCTGAACCCATACCGGTAGGTTTGAGTTGTGGCTGCGTGTGCGAGGACGCGGCGTCCATCGGGTGTCCTGCGTCCCGCGCCTTCATCCCGTCGCCGACGTGGTCCGACAGCACGTCCTGCGGCGACTCGTTCCCCTCCGGATCCGCCGCGTGCCCCTGCGACACCGACGGGTCCCGCCCTCCCCTCGTCACCGTCTTCGCGCTATGCATCCTGCTCCCACCATGTATGGCAGCACTCCCATGAAACCCCCGTTTACCCCCCATATACCCAACACTCGAGAAATTGTCCGCGCTCACGCTCGCGCCGCCCACCTGCTCGACGAAGCCCACGCCCTCCCTGTTGCCCCCGCCGTGCCCGAAGCTGCGCGGCCTGTACTGCGGCGCGGGCGACGCCGCGTCGAGGTGGTGGTCGTTCGCGTCGTTGCGCGCGCAGAGCCCCGCCGCGACGTGGACGCTCTGCACGGACTGCGGTGCGGTGGCGTGCCCCTGGGAGACTGCGCGGTTGAGCCCGCTCGAGGTGCGTGTGGTCGAGTGCAGCGTGGGCCTGGTGTGGAGAGTCCGTATGACGGAGGGCGTATTGCGCAGGATGTGTATTGACCGCATTTTG